TGAACAGGCAGCAAACCCTTTCTTCCTTTGGAAAAAAACAAAGTAAATAACAGAAGCTGTGTCTCTCACTGGCTATAGCACTTGCTGTTGTATTAAAATTTCCAGGTCACATGCTGGAATTCTGTGGCCATCACGTGTGCTTGACCATACAGTGTTTGACAGATGCGACACTGGTTGTACTGATCCCTCTGCTCTGGAGAGCAGGGGAAGTGGAGGCTGCAGCTGATTCTCCGCATGATTTGCTGCAGGGCAGCGCTAATGAGAAACCCCTAATGTGAAAAAAAAGGGCTTGTAACTGGGGGGGGGGGGGGGGGGGGAAATCCAATGAATGTTTAAAAAGGAAGATTCAGCTCAGCTGTTCCCATAGGGCGTTTGCTGACCAGCTTTTTTCTTTTTGATATCACTGCAGATCAGCAGTTCACTCTGTACTACAGACCTCTCTTCTAAAGCTTGCCAGCTCTCCCTTCCAATGATTTGACAGAACATTCTTGGTGTAGATATGCAGAGACATGCTGAATTTGTGAGAACAGAGACTGGATTTTTACTGGTAGCAAGAGAGCATTTGTCTTTGATTCACAAGGATAATAATTTAACAAACAAGTAATCAGAGGAAATAGATTTCAACAGTGTGTTTCATCAACAGACTTAGATGCAGTGTGATATCTTTTAGAGTCAAATAATAACCTTCAATTCCTACAACAACATAACATTCTTAAAATAAAAAGAATAAAAAGAAGTTTCTATAGGACAGGATATCAATAGATTACATATTTTTGTATCCTGCCTTCTAAAGCAGCCCCATTCAGAGCTGTGACTGAAGAAAGCCACAAACACAGCGGTGTCAAAGAACGTGGTCTGCACCACCCCATGGCAACACAGGAAATATGTTTTCTTTTAGGTTAGTGAGATATAAAAACTTTTATGATTAACAGGAATGTTGATTAAAATCAGACCACTCATTAATTTACCTTAATGACGGGGTACAGGTAATACCTTTTAAATAAACAATTAAAAGGAAGGAAAATATTGGAGTTTATTATTTGAGAAATATTGATAAACAACTAACCTTTATGTACTATAAATGAAATTCAGCTAAGCATAATCTGTCTTTGTTACTGTATAAGCTTTATAGACAAAAAATTATAATTAGGTATAATATTTTTTCTTAATAGCTGAAATAATTAATAACAAACAAAGAAAGAAAAAGGCAAAAAAACCCCCCATCAATAAAAAAGTCCTGTTGCAGATGAGGTAATCCTTTAATCTCTGTGGAAATACATGTGCATTTTTTTCTTCTACTAGTCAGGTTTATCTGAGGAAAAAAAGAAAAGCAGGCTGAATTTACACCTGGAGAAGTGAAATTTAAAGCAATACCTGAAAAAGAGTTAATAATATTTTCTAGATTATCTTATTGCTTACATTGTAGTAACCTAATTTATTTCTGTCTGCCTCATTCTTTAATTAAAGGTATAAACTAAGCACAGTTTAAGAACTATATAATGTCAGTGAACATTACCTGCATTTCGTGTTTGTATCTGTTGATAATGGAGCATTCCAAATAACAATTTGTGAATTATTCTGCCAGCCCAAGGAGGCGTTTTCTGGCTGTTATCAGCATTGTCTGTTTGTGAAAGGTTCTGTTCACACGTCCTTTCATGCTACTGCTTAAAAGACACTCATTCACACACTTGAAAGCATAGGTATGTTTAAATATTTATGGAACAAGAAGAATTTTCAAGATCTTCCTCTAGAAGACTGTTAGTGGGAATTTGCATGTTGAAGTACACACACAGCAGGCACAGCAATTTTTAAACTCATAGAACAATTTAGACTCATAGAACAGCCCAGCTTGGGAGAGCCCTCCAAACTGGTCTAGCCTTTTGTGGGAAAGGGAGCCTAGATGAGATTATTTAGCACCATGCCCATCTTGAAAACCTCCGGTGACCCTACCATGTCTCTGTGGAATTTGTTCCCACTGTGAAAAAAATTCTTTCTTTATTGAGATGAAACTTTTTCCAGTGTCACTTGTGTTCCTTGCCCTTGTCTTCGTTCTACTCCCCTCTGATGAGACACCACCTGGAATACTGCAACCAGCTCTGGGACCCCCATCGCAGGAAGTCCATAGAATTATTGATGCAAGTCCAGAGGAGGCCACAAAGATGATTAGAGTGATGAAACACCTCTCCTCTGAAGAAAGGCTGAGAAAATTTGGATTACTCAGAATGGAGAAGAGAAAGCTCTGGGGTGACTTTGTAGCAGCATTTCAGTGCCTAAAGAGGTCTACAGGAGAGCTGGAGAAGGACTTTTGATAAGGGCATGTAGTGGCAGGACAAGGGGCAAGGGTTTAAACTGGAGGAGCGCAGGATTAGATGAGACAGTAGGAAGAAATTCTTCCCTCTGAGAGTGGTAAGGCCCTGGAACAGCTTGCCCAGAGAAGCTGTGGATGGTCCATCCCTGGAAGTATTCCAGACCAGGTTGGATGGAGCTTTGAACAACCTTGTCTAGTGGAAACTGTTTCTGCCCATGGCAGGGGGCTTGGAACCAGGTCATCTTCAAGGTCCCTTCCAATCCAAATCCTTCTATAATTTATGATTCTATGATTCCCCATGCGATTTCTGTTAAAGAAAGAGCTTCCATCGTCCTTGTAGCCACACATTAAGTGATGGAAAACTGTGATGAGGTCAGAAAATGGTAAGTTAAATTCATCTGTTCAATGCTGCACTGGGAAAGTGGCAGAGGAATCCAAACCCTCAGGGAGAGCTGTGAGCAGAGGGAGAAGTGCCTGCCTCCTTGCTGCTTGGTACCACCTTTGGCAGAGGAGATGGATGTAGTGTGTGCCAGTGCAGCTGCTGAAGGACAGACATCCAGTGAGTTCAGGCATGATGAGTGAGTGTGGAGTGAGACAGGAGCTGCTGAACTGTGCCCACATCCCATAGGTTACACCGAAGGGTGCCCAGGATTCAATGTGTGTGCTCGGTACTCCTGCCAGCAGCTCTCCCTGCCCCAGGAGACAGCTGCTCCCAGCAGCACAGCTTCTGGAGCTGTGGATGTGGATGTGCAGTGTTGCCTGTGTGTGCCTCTGCCCAGCCCAGCTGCCAGATGTGAGCTGGGTACGCGCTGGGTGTCCCTGCCCCAGGAGACAGCTGCTCCCAGCAGCACAGCTTCTGGAGCTGTGGATGTGGATGTGCAGTGTTGCCTGTGTGTCATCTGCCCAGCCCAGCTGCCAGGTGTGAGCTGGGTACGCGCTGGGTGCGCTGCGGGGGCAGAGCAGAGGCTCCATGCAGGCAAAGAAGCTTGTTCCAGTTCTTTCAGAGTTTGTCCCTTTTTGTGTTCTGTCAGTGAAGGATGGAGGACTGCTGCAGAAAATTTTCACTGTAAAGAGGCCTGACCATGAGTTTTAGATGGTTCGCTCTCACTTTAAATGCAGAACCTGCTTTTAGCATCGACCATTCCCATTTGTAATTTCCCTCATCTGTTCTGCAGCTGTTTAAGCCTGCCAAGAGAAGCATGGTCCCACTGATACACTGGTTTTCCTCTGAAGCCTTTTGTGTCTCACTGTCTGGGAAATCTTGAAATGAATGGGTTTTCACTGCATGCTGCTGTTTTTCAAAGAAAGTTTCAGGGAAATTATTCTCAGTCCAAAATTATTTTTTTTCCTCTGATTCCACAAATACAGTGTTTATTACATATGTATCCCACATGCAAAAAATAGTTTTCTAAGCAGTAAAATTCTTGGAATAATAAAAAAATCTTTCTTTCTTCAAATAACACATGGAAGGACAAAGAAGTTAAAAGGGGTTTGATCTTTATTTGGTAACAGTGTCCTTAGTGCTAAATCACACTGAGAAAGCAAGTAATATGTGATGGGTTCAAAGGGAGGAAAAATCAAACAACATCACCTAAAATAAAGGTAACAATATCTGGAGGATTTTTTCCAGAGCTATGGACACAGTCCATAGTTCTCCTTCTTTGGTTGTTCCAGACATTTTCATTAGGAAGAAGATGCATGTCATATAGCTTTGGTGCATGCTGTATCAACTGGCATTGAACAGTAGTGTATCCTGCACAATTTCTTAAATCCCATCATTAGTCCACAGAATTGCAACTCTTCATTACCTGTATCCTTTTGGGAAGTGTGATTAAAGTCAAGTTTCTTTGGGTGTTTCTTACACAGGATTTTTGTTTCCTGGTGACATGCAGTTTAGTTTCTAAAATATATTTTTATTTGAAAATCTGAAGGTCCTCTCACAAACATTTGGTACATTTCTTTTTTTATCACATCTTTTCTGGGCCTATTGCTTGATGTCTCTGAAAAAAAACAAACAATAAAAAATTGCATTTCATAACATTTCTTTGAGAAAGTTCTTTCCAAGGGTATATTGACAAGAAGAGTGAGTTCCTTGCATTGCATGCAAGATGGGGTTTTGGGTTTTTTTGGTTTTTTTTTTTCCTTTAAAGGCATATGGGACTCTATTTTCACAGAGATAACAGTGGCCACAGGGGGCAGATTTTTCATAACCATTCTGCATGCAGAAAACCCCTGATTTATATAGACAGATTTAATAAATCCATTCAACTTGTGTGTTATGAACATTCCTAATATCTCAACCTGGAATGACTGAATTAAAGTGTATGTCTAGACTGCAGGAAAGCTACCTTCAGTCCTTGTCTATTAATCACTGGAGGTGAGAACCAGAGTGGTGTGACTCTCTTTTGGCCTAGATTTTCTTCCTGTGGCTTTGAAATATGCATCTGAATCCAAGTGCAGTGTGTTTGAGTGTTATCATAGAGCACAGCTCTCCTGAATTCATGGAACTGTCATGGACAGTCTTACCCCGTGTCTGATGTATGAAGAGCCACTTGAATACACTTTCTCTTGGTAGAAAGTGCTATCACAAACTAAATAACCCTGCTTCCCTCTGCTGGAATCTGTCCTAGTACTTCAGGGCAAAGTACTTGCACGTTAATGTGTTCTTGATTTTTCTTCTCTCTGTTGACAGCTCTTAGACTGTTTTGTCATCCCAGTGGTGATACTCCTCTCCTGGTTCTTCTTACTGGTACGATACAAGGCAGTTCATTTCATTGGGATTGTGGTCTGCATTCTGGGCATGGGCTGCATGGCAGGAGCAGATGTCCTCGTTGGGAGACAGCAAGGAGCAGGTAAGTAAGAACGAATGGGTTGTGTGGCCAAGTTCTGTTCAGAGAAGCCATTGACCAGGGTGTGTCAGACCGGGGCCAAAAAAATGCAGAAATCTGGCAAGAAACTCTGTACCTTCATGGATCCAAAGCACTGCACTACTCAGAGTTGTCTCTTTGTCAAAAGGGCAGAAAGGGGTCACCACTTACAAGTCAGGAGTGCTGCAAACAGGCTTCTTGGGCCCTGTGTCTTACAACCCCCTGCAAGCTGGGGGGACAACCTAAATATTTGTAGTTTTGTTCTCTTTTGGCTTAGCTGTTGGACTGCAAACCTCTATAGCTTCCTTTCCAAATTGGATACATTTCTGAGCCATAAGCTCCTCTCACATCCACTGTGTGCTCTTGCCCTCCTCAGCTTGGCTTGTTTTTCTACAGAGGTGGGGTCACTTGGTAGGTGCTAAAACACACTGAACCTGTATACTACCAGTTGGGTTTTGCACACAGTCTCGTCCTAAAGCTTTGGGACTTGACTGTAACGTTTTTGAAAAGAACCTCCTTGTGTGTAAAATGTTTTTTTATGTGTGGCATCATATGAATAATGTGTGTATCTATTAATGCAGACTAGACAGAGTTAGATTTCATCGATCAACTTCCCCTGTCACATTGATTTCTCTAGTGCCAAGCCAAATGATGTGGGAAGGCTGGAAATTCTTTTCAAAGATTGTCAATTAGGCACAGTTTTCATTCTTAATTAAAAGCACTGAATTGTGAGCAGAGCATAATACACTGGGATTTAAAATTCTTGACTCAGCTTTCTGAATACAAATGCAAGTGCTGTAAAAACTGCATTTGCCAGAATGCTACCAAATAAAACAATGGAGCTTGTGACAGTGCTCACCGTATCTCCCTACCCCCTTTTATCTCTGTCCTTAATCCTGAAAGGAGACTTTTAGTTACTGATCTCCTTCAGAAGTAGCCTTGCCCCAGCTAAAAATGAAATAATATACTCTGTACTATGTAACCAGCCAGCCAAGGCTGTGTTGGGAATGGCTGATTTCAGAGGGATTGAGATTGCAAACCAGGGTTCCAGAAGAAACATTCTGTGTCCCAGCAGTCTAGAGAGTAACATGCTTGAGTGGGTGAGCTATGGATCAGCAGGAGCATGTGGAGCAGTGGAAGCAGACAAGGAACAGATTGAAGGGCACTGACACTTTGCCATCCAACTGCAGTAATTAGGTGTTGTTTGCCATGTTCATTATTAAAGCATGGGTATAGCTGTTAAGTAAATTTGTCCAGAAAAATCTGTTAACATGCATTATTGCCTTTTAAATTCGACCTACACATGAAAAACTGTGCCCATGCTTATTGCTATGCAGAGAGACTGCAGCTTTTTTACTTTTTTCAGTGGCATAATAATGTTATTAATGATGCTGTCTTCAACAGAGTAAAATAGATCATCTAGTTTAATTTCTTTAAAAGGCTAAAACTACACATTAGAATGTACAAATAGAAAGAATTAATGGCAGGAAAAAAAAGAACAAAATTATTTAAACTCTTCATTAAGAAGTTGTACACCATTTATAGGATGTTTCCTAGGACTGGACAAACTAAAGTAAGGAAGACACCAAAAGCAATGATGCTTCATTAGTCCTCAGTAAATGTCTCTGTTTATCTTATATTTTAGGGGACAAGAACTGTTGATACCTGTGTGCCCCTGTTGACCACACTGCTTACTGTATTAGAAGAGCCATAAGGCTCTGCTAGGTACCCACATAATAAGGCAATTTAGCCTGCCAACTCTTACAGTAGGGGAACATGAATTTAAAGTGTATCACTGAGAGATTAAAAGGTATTTTCCAAACTGTCTGCAGGAATTAGGTATAATGTGCCCACATGCTTTCAATTTTCAATTGTATCCTCACTGATATTTTGCACATTACTCAATGGGAAAACATTTACTATTAAGTATTTAGAGCTCTATCATCTTACATGCCAAGTATACCTGAAAAAAACATTATTCTGAACTAACACTCATGAGTTACTTTCACACTTCTGCTCCTGCCATACACAGGTGTCTAAGCCACACAGGTCTAAGTGTTTCATCCAGGTCTTTCAAAGCACTTCCTTGCTTTAACTTCCAACAGTCTCTGAAAACCAGTCACATCAATCCTGCTAATACATATATCAGTGTTCAATTTCAAATGGGACACATTGAGAGTGATTTTTAGGTATCATGTTCATCAGTAACTACAACCAAAAGCAAAAAGAAACACCTCTTAATGGCAGGAGCTAGGGCAAAAATGTGACAAAGAGGCCTTTTGGGAGTGTGAAAAGAGATTGTGTCAGAACACAATTCACATTTAAAAGATTTGTGTTTCAATATAATGCTGTAACTAGTTCCCAAAACACTAACTCTGCTCTGGACCATACAACTTCTCCACAGAATATTAAATATGGTAACAATCATTAATGTAAAGCCTGTTTTGCCAGGCTATGCCTTGTGTGTCTTCTGAAGAATGACCTACACCATTAAATTGGTGAAATACAACTTTATTGTCCTAAAAGTTTTTAGAATGCCTCTAATTAGTTGACACATGTTTCCTTAGCAATGCAACCAGTAGATGCATGTGGATATTGCATCCATGAAAAGAAGTCTATAGGGATATGTCAGTCTTGGGAGAAAGTCCCAAAGTCTCAGCCTCTCAAGGAGGCAAAGATAAGGCATTTGACAACCAGAATAATAATTGCTAAGAAAGAAAGCAAAAACATATTTTACAACATTTTTACACCAGTATATAAAGTTTTGGAGCACTAACTCCGTGTGTACCATGTATTACTCTAGTCACTGCATCTCAAAAAGAAGTCATCAGAAAATAAACCTGTATAAGCTATGGAGAAAGGTGAGAAAGCTGTTCAAGGGCATAAAATGGATTCAGATGAAGAGACTGTAGCCAGACTGGGACATTCCTTCTCTCAGAAAAGGCAAGGAAGAGACCTGTAAAGGTATATGAAGTCTTCAATTATATGGAAAGGGTCAGTACAGAGTGATTTTTAAATATTTATCAGAAAATAATGGGATGACTAATATGATTTTGAGGTATTCAGAGTAAAAAATTAAAAGCATAATGTACTTAATAGTAGGCTAAAAATATACGAATTTTACACAAATTGATGAAGAATCCCTCAAGGTTTATTAAATGTGATGGTCTAATGCAACTTCTATCTCAGAAAATGCCTGATCTACTGAGAACTGGCTGATAGAAGTCCCTCTGTACTTGCTTATTTGTTTGTGCTCTCCTGAGCCACCCTGTGCTGCTGAGTACCAGAGGAGGTTCCAGTGTCAGAGTCTGGTGTTCTGAACAGATCTCAGCTCCCTCTTCTGGGAAGGCCCTGAAGGCTGAGGCTCACACTCAGCATGAGAGCACTTTGGGAAGAGCTATCAGGGTGTGACGCTTGAGGCCATCCCATCTGTGTGAAAATACTCAGCCTCTGAGCTGCTTTTGTTTCACAGATGCAAAAGGATGATATTTTTGTCCTAGCAGGAGCTCTAAGGTCAAAAGCTTTTGCAGCAATACTTCCCTAAAGTGTCAGTGAGTAGCTGCAATAAATACCAAAAAAGTGAGCTCAGTGAAGAATCAATGGAGCCACTGTGAAATATGAAATGCATCAGGGGTATGAAGAAGTTTTGTAAAGTCTTGATGCTTATTTTAAATGAAGAACATCTTCCATTACTGATTGCAAAAGAAGACTAAAATAAGAAAAAAAACCCCGACAACAGAACAACCAAATCCTAAAAAGATAAACGGTCAAATATAAACATTTTTCCCATCAAGGAACATTCAAAATTGAAATTCAGTGAAAGGCGGGATGAGTATGTGAAAAACAAATCTCGTAGTATTTTCTAAATACAGAGAAGCCACATCTCCTCTGAGATGAAAAATGTTGGAAACTAGGAGAGTATTACTGGGAATACTTTACACTTCATTCCTATTGTCCTTAAACAGCTTATACTTTTCTGGTGCTTATAGCCAGTGTTGGGGACAGGATTAATGAACCCTTGGTCTGTCCTCTTATGACCATTTTTATTATCATAAATTTCTTCTCCATAGAAATTTCAGCACTGCAGTTTGGAATGATAACTGAAGGCTTAAAAGAACTCCTTAAAGAAAAATGTTGAAAAGATAATTTTGAACCAATTAGAATGTTTGGTTTCCATTTTTATTTACTGCAGTGTATATTTTACAAATCAATTGAAATAAAACTTTAAAAGACAGGGACATAAAAAGTCAATCATGATTTTTTAAAAGAAAACAGGATTTCTTTTTTAAAAATACTGTGTCATACTTCAGCATTTCTGCTGAAACTTTTCAAAGAAAAATCCATTATAATCCAACATTTCTGAATATGGTTCTGCAGAAATATCTGACAGCTTTGTGAAGCTGTAGCTCTTGTAGAAATAATTTAACAAGCCATATGTGCAGAGGAAATTGCATGCACCAGTTTGCAAAGCTAGGGCCTCAGTTTTCAAGCTGGAACTTGATCTTGATCAAATGTCACTGCAGCTCTCCCCAACATCCAATAATAAAATCTTCCAAGACTTAAAAAGATTTCAAGCAGTCTTTGATAACAAAATGTTTTAGTAATTCTGTATACCTGGAGGTACTGAAAATACCTCCAGGTATACAGAATTTCGTGTTCCTTGCATGCATTAGGTACTGCTATGTTAATTGAACCTCTTTTAAAAATCTGTCCTTATCATCACCCTGTCTACACCACATCCTTCCTCCTCCCTTTCTTGTCAAACAGCTCCATGTGAGAATGAGGTCAATATTAGGCTGTAATGATTTCTTCACTCATTTCACAGGTACACGGAATTTTTCAGTTGTCCTCAGATCTAAGTACTGAACTTGTTTTAGACTGGTGAAATTTCAAGATGAGACGCAAACTGCTCTATAAAGTTGAGTCACGTTCTCTCTGCAAAGAAAAGAAAATGTAGTAATAATAAAGTTTAAAGGATCAGTCTCTGAAGATCTCCACTTGGATTATATACTTTTTTTTTTACAAGTTTTTCAGATTTTTTTGGCTTCTTCTTTCTACAGCAAGGAATATGCTCTCCCTCTGTCTGACTGAGACTGGTGCATTGAATGAAAACTGTTTGAATGACAGAATATTTGCATTCATTTTATTAACCCAGATAAGGGCTATGTAGTGACTGTAGGGAAGAACATGCAATGGTTTTGGACAGAAGATGGTTGTTTTGAGGCATTCTGATTTTTTTTTTCTATTTATCCCTAGGTGAAAATAAACTGATAGGGGACCTCTTAGTACTTGGTGGAGCAACTCTGTACGGCATCTCCAACGTCTGTGAGGAGTACATCGTCCGAAATCTGAGCCGAGTGGAATTCCTGGGCATGATTGGACTCTTTGGCTCTTTCTTCAGTGGAATTCAGCTGTAAGTGGACAGGTTTGAGCTCACTAAAGCTCAAATAATTGCAGCTGTGGCATCCATTGAGATACACTAACCACTCATTCAAAATTAGCCCTTTCCGGTGGAGAGCAGGAAATTCCTCTAATCTTGGAATTTGCATTGGTTTTCATATTTCAAATTGGTGATTTGAATAATAACACAAAATTTTACCCAAGTACTCTAATTCAAGGACCATTGTCCTTGAGTAGTCACATAAAGAGGGAGAAGACATGTCACACTATCTTGCTGCTGGAGGACAAGTGGATGCTTCATGTATTATTCTGAACTGTGAATAACAAAATCTACAGCTTCTTTTGGTTCTGTTATATACTTTTAAAAAGTCTCTTTGATTTCTAAAGAGGTGGAAAACACATCCAGTCAGAAGGTGTTTTACTGGTTTGCTTGTTCTGTGTAACTACATTATGATATGGTAGAAATCTTGAAAAAGCCTTTAATAAAATGGCCTTTTCCTTCAAAATATTTAGCACATAGGAGATTGTTGCATGGATTTCGGCATCTACGGAGTCTGGTCTATATCCACATGTACCTAATGAGCATCTCAACTGCAAGCCTAATAGTTGGAAGGTGGCTTCCAGTGTTGCAGTAGTGTGGCTGATGTAAAAGTAGCCCTGCAAGATTGCTACATTTTGTGCAGGTCTGTCACTGGTGCTTGTAGCACAGAATGACTTGATTATTGGTCCAAAACAAGTTGCTTTTCTACAGATCTAAGCTACTCTGCTCCTAAGAACAGAGACTGATCAAAAAACCACAGCTCATCAATTCCTATTTCAATAGTTTTATTTTTTTTAGCTAGAGAGCTTAATATATTTATTTGGGATCTGAACAAGTGTCTTAAAATTATTTATATTAACTAGCTGCCATACAAGAAGTTCCCTTTAAAAAAATGGAATTTAAGGGCACATAAATGTGCCTAGTATCTTTGGCTAAAGCATTCTTTTATATGATTGTGATTAAGTAGCTACTAACATTCTGAGGACATCAAAGCAGTGCCCTTGTCTTGCTCTGTGTGTGTGAACTGTCATGTAAATGTCTCGTGTTCCAGAATTCAATTGTTGTGCCATTCCTCCCTCTTGACTGAAGCAGTTAGTCACAATTCAGGATCTGTGAGCTGTTCTGCTGGTGAGAATCTTGTTTTGGAGCAAGGCATCTTTGTATAAAGAAGTCACATCTGGAAGGAAATAATAAGAAACCATTTCTTTGCTGAAAGCCCTAAGGTTTTTCTATTCAATTTTTGACCTATAAATTCACTCCAACAGGTTTTTCTCCACCAGCCTCTGCAGCTTTTTGCTGATGGTGCTTTTTGGGCACATTCTAGAGACACAACCACACTTAGTTCATACCTGTGCCTTTTTTCCTACCTTTACCTGTAATGAATAGCAGAAGTCACAATTATGTGTTCACAGAGAATTAATGTAACTAATTATAACACTTACATCAAAGATAAACCAATTCCTCATGTTAAATTTGCAGGCTCTTTCTTTGAAATACTACTGGCCACTTTGGTGCAATATAGGACCTTTAGATCCTCTGAACTGAAGGAGTCTTAGACTGTAACATAAAATAAACACACATAATGCCTGTTGTACAGCAAAGGAGGAACAGCTAAGGTGTCAGGGGAAACAGTGAATTAATGAGTTGGCTAATTACCCAGACATGGTGGAAAAAGAAGTTTAGTGTGTTGAGTATGATTAAAGAAGGGAGGAAGAATAAGAGATTAGTTTCCGAGAGCTGGGGATGTCACAATTACCCAGCAAATGGAGATAAGGTTATCTGATGGAATCGCATAATCATAACATGGCCTATTTTCTAATGGTCCCTGAAGGTCATCTGGTTCAAGCTCCTACTCAAAGCTAGCTTCAAAGTTACATCAGGTTGCTTAGGAACTTGTTCACTTGATTTCTTGGTATCTCCAAGAATGGAACTGCCAGTCATGCTGGGCAACCTGTTCCAGTGTTTGACATTTTTTTTCCCCATGATATTTAATCAGTTTTCCACATTGCAACTTGTGTCAATTGTCATTCATGCTTTTGTTGTGCACCTCCAAGAAAAGTATGACTATCTTGTCTGTAGCTACCCATTGCATAGTTAAGATGGAAAATTTATCGTTGTGTCCTCCTTTCCCCCAGCTTAGCCTTCTCTTCTTCATGCTAAGCAAACTCTGCTCTTTCAGCATCTCCTCTTACATCCTGTCCTCAACCTGCCTGACCATTATGATGGAATTCCACTGTACTCCCTTCAATTTTTTATTGTCTGTCTTGTTCTGGACAGCCCATAATTGGATACAGGACTCTACTGTTGTCTCAAAAATCACAACCGTCAGCTTTCTGGCCAGACAACAGCTCAGGATGCTGTTGCCTTCCTCTGCTCCAGGGACACATAGGGTTCAGGCTGATGTCCACCAGGACGCTTAAGTCTTGTTGCTGGAAAACAACTTTCTATCCAGTCAGCTCCCAGCCTGTACTGTTTCATAGTGTCACTCCACCCCAGGTGCAGGAGTTAATACTTGCTTTTCTTGAACTTCATGATGTTTCTTCTTACTCTTTTCTTTAGACAGCATTGTACATAGTCCACCTATCTAGTTCATACCTCTTGAGTCTCTGAAGATCTTTAAGGAAATCATGTTGGAAACCTTGCTAAACTAACAGTAGGTTACACCACATCCACTCATCCATTCCATTTCCCTTATTTACTGATCCAGTCACCTCATTATAGAAGGCAATAGTTGTGTCAGGTTTGCTCTTGAGAGCATTGTGTTGGCTTTTCCCACTGGAACCATCTTCATCATTTCCTGCAAATGGCTTCTGGGTAGATTTGTTCCATAATCTTCCCAAAGGTTAACGTAAGGCTGGCAGGCTACACCTTTTGTTCTGTATTAAACTGAATGTTGCATTTGTCTCTTTTCAGTTTTCAGGAACCTCCTTCAACTACCACAACCTTTCAAAATCATTGTGGTTCCAATTCTTCAGTGCCTCTGGCATCACTAAATGGCCACTTCTGGCAAAATTTCCCTCACCCCTCTTTTTTCACAGATCATAAGGAATCACAAGCCATAGCATATTGTTTTATATGTATTTTGTATTGGCTAAGCAGTAATATGAATGCAATGTTCCTACGTTTAAGTTATGTGAAAAATTTTTTCCAGACCAAGAGACATTGGAGTTTGTTTTCATTATATTCTTCAGGAATGATAAAAGAGACATATACCTTATGAATGCAAAGACACCTATAATTTAGTTATTTTGCAGAGAATATAGTCTTATTATTCTGTACACAGTATTAGATTTGCCTCACATCAGCAGCAAGCAAATTAAAATTTCCAGCATGCAACTCTTTAGACTAGATTAATCTGGAAGGTTTTGAGCTCCTGTAGTTTTACTATTAGATTTGGTCTTCCACATGCCACCTTTCCTACTGGGTACTTTGTTTTTCAATCTGTATAATTCCATGTTTTATACTTGTTTAAAATAGTGTCCAGACCAGCATGCAGAGTTTTGCACAGCTGGATTTATCTGGAAATCATACAGACAGAGAAAGCAGTTAGCTGAGTGAAGACCTAGCTTGGGAGATATCTTATCTCCAAGGGTCTGTTTGCCTGGATTGGGAAGAGCTGACTTGTTGCCACCTGAGAATTTTATGGATCTGTGACTTTGATGTTAATGTACTGTGCAAGATTTACAAGTTACTGAGAGTGGACTTTTGCAGGTTTGCCCATTCTTTGCTTATTATCCTGACTTTCACTGATGTGACTATTTGGTTTCTCTCAGTGTGTAAGAAATCACAGCATGATTCCCAAACCAGCCTGTGATATCTATTTATTTTACCCTGCAGAGCTACTCTGAAGTGTGAATAACTCAGATAGATATATTATTAATAATTAGAGTTCAAAAGCTTTCAGAATATTAAGTCAGAAAAGTACAAGAGGATTGAAAATTTAGGGGAATGGGCATGTAGAGCAGGTATATTGAGAGCTGGAAATAAACCAGGAGAAATTGTATGCTATCACATCTGATTACTGCCCTGAAGATCTTTCAAATACACAGACACAGGGATAATGCCAGAGTAGATTAGCAAACTCCTGATTGCATTTGTTTTCTACAGAGTTTTTTTGTTATAAGGTTATTTATGTTGTTTTGTCCAGCATTTTAATTCAATGAGTGGAAGTAATTTAACTTCTGTTCTCTTCCATCAAATTTTGCCTTCTCTTCTAGTGCAATCATGGAACACAAAGAGCTGTTGAAAGTCCCCTGGGATTGGCAAATAGGTAAGAACACACTTTACCTCATGGGAGATGGTTGCTAAAGGAGGCATGGAGACAGCCAGCGTTTGGGGAGGCGGGCACAGAGTTCAGGGGAGCCAATGTTTGTGACTTTTCCACTGGTTACTACCAAAGGTTGAGCCTCATAACTGTTCTTAAATGATCTGCCCTCCATTGCTGTGTTATGCCTTCCTTGCACAATTAGGTTAAGCATATGAATGCTGTAAGATAATCATTCAGACAGCCATGAAGTAAAACAATAATGTGGTTCCGTTTCTAAGATTCAATGCAACACTGGGGCAATAAATGAGGCAGTCGTTAAGAGCCAAACCTTTTCAATGAAAGCCAAGGAAAGAAAATGGAACCCAACAAAAATAACCTAAAAAAGTACTCGCAGTGCATATTATAGCCTCATAAATTCACTTCCAGGAGGAGCATTTCTGTATGGAAGTGTTTTAATTGCTTTCCAAATAGTCTTAGTGGAATAAAGCAGATGTGTCCTTTAGACAAGTTTTGGGAGCATCGTGCCCAATGAAGCAGTTATGGTGTTCTGCCAAGCAGGGAATTGCATTTTCCCTTTTCAGTTTGGAAGCTGAGTTTATGACTTCCTTCTAATGAGTCCAATGGATTATTTGGTTTAAAAGCAAATCGATATTTAGGGGAGTCCCTATAATCACTCCTTCACTATTTATGACAATAAAAGAAATAAAAGAATACTAGTCGCATTGAGCTGATTGATTGCAGGGGGCTCAAGGTTTGGCAACCCATTGACAATAGCTCTTTACCTAGTTTCAGACTGAACATCAAAATGACAACTCAGAAGTGTGCAAAAACAACTGATTATGTGGGGAATCCCTTTGGGGAGGGGATACAAACTGTGGAATACAGTTGGTTTCTTTAAACTTGGTTTGCAATTTCCTTTCATCATCTTAAACCTTGATAAATACAGCACATTTTTCACAAAACATTGCACCTAGAAATCTTGGAAATTTGATTGTTGAGCTGTAAAACTAAGTGACAAATCAATTTAAAGTATCCATGGAGAAACACACTCAACTGTGTACTATAAGTGTATTGGCCTTCTTTAATCTGAGATAGTTAGCATAATTGCATCAGTGTTTATTTATATTTCATGAGAAGGAGCTTAGGGACATAATTAATCTGGTACTGATGGTACCAGTGGTCATAGTGAATTAATCTACTGTCCATGTAAATGTCATATATACTTCCATGAGATTTCTGTTCAGACTCAGTATCAGAGAAATGTGCTATTAAAATAAGGTCTTACTTCATCTGTGATGCTGCCAAAATGTCCCTGAAAGTTGATTACTAATTCTGAAGAGTCCTTATGCTTCACAAGGCTGAGATCATCTTAGCAAAAACATCATAGATATGCACTTGTTTTGTTAGAGCAATAATTGGAAATGTGATGTAGTTGAACATGGATTAAATGGTGACAGTTCTGTAGTTCTTCCCTGGCTTCCGCTGCACCTGGTGTACTTTGCATTGCATTGGCAGTGATACAAGATTGTCAAAAAGTGATTGACAAATCTGTATCAGGGAGTTCACAGCCTTGTCCTGAGTAGTTATCCGCTGTGACAGACTCAAAGCTGCAGTCCAGCAGAGTTAAATCATCAGCCTCCCGAATGGTGGTGATAAAGTCACAGCAGGAAGCCTAATAAATAAATCAAGGTGACCTGTTGCCATCTGCCATAATTGTGCTTTTTAGATCAAATGAGCTATCTTTTAACTGATGCAAATGATTTTTGAACATAAAGATCTAAAGCCAATCTGTTGTGTCTATCATGTTTAAAACAGGCTGTGTCCCTCCTGGTGTTAATTTTGGAAATTGCCCTGATACATATCATCATCTTCACACTTACTGTGAATTACTGTAGCTCTGTTTGTATCCTTGAAGGCTTAAGTATTAATACTTGCTGACAACCAGACTGAAAGGAGGATGATTTTACAGTTTTGAGAGAGTGATTTCATATGAGACCATGACAAGTTTTCTAGTGATAGATGAAATACTAACAAATAAACTCACATCAGTTTTATTTAAGAGAAAAGCCAGTTTGTAGCTCCAAGAAAGTGTCCTTTTTTACCGGGGGTTTCAGTATTTCTGAATGGTCTTTGTTCCAAGACAGTATGAAAGATCATAACTGATTCCATTTCATGCCAATGAAACATTTGCTTTTGGAGTAAAAGCACAAAGGCAACATTCATGCAACGTTCAACCACCTTACTCAGGAACAAGACCAGAAGTTCTCAAGTCATGTTGGTCTATGTCCTACTTGGGCTGTATTAGAGTGATCCCTAGGGACAGATCCTGCCTATTTGTGTAAGGACGCCAAGTGTAAAGAGAAATTGAGGAATGCTGAGGGACTGGGGCTCATTCAGCCTGTGGAAAAGAAGTTACCTACAAGGAGGTTATCAAAAGGACAGAGCCTGGCTCTGTCAGAGGTGCATGGCAGGAGGATGAGAGACAGCAGACAGAAGCTCAAATGACAGATTCAGACTGGCTATAAGGAAAATCATCTTCACACTGAGGGCAGGCACACAGCAGAGCAGGTTTCCCGAGAGGTTCTGGAGTCTGCTGGAACTGCAGCACTAGAAGCAAATCCTAAGGCTGCTATTTGCACTGCATGGGTACCTGAGGAGGCTGAGGCTTCAAGCTGTTGGCTTAAAACATGTTTTCAGTCTCAAAATTGGTCCTCTAAGAAGCATATGTACCTGAAAATCATATGATGTTAATTTCACTTGTTTATTGTCACCACTAAATGTCACCGCGCTAGTGGATATTACATATATTTTGAAGCTGTAAATGAAATGCCATTTTATATTCACCTTTGCTAGGACAGCTACAGTTTAAGCAATTTTCCTCTGGAACTGAAATGCCCTTTGGAAAAGCAACCTGTGAAACTGGCTGTCAAATAATATGAACACCAAGGCAGTACCATAAAATTATACTGTAAGTTAAGTGCATAAACCAGCAAAGCTGTGTTAAATCCAGACAACCAGAGACTTGGTGGACCAGCTGATGATTTGCAGAGAGTACTTTGACAATGCTGACTACAGAAGAGTCACAGAGTTTAAATAAAGCAACTTTCAAGCACTGCCTACAACTTAATTCTGTTTCCAGTTCACAATGTACACCTTATAAATTTGCTACCTGTGGGTAAAAGCAGTTTTTACCATGATTGTCCATATTCTGAATATAAATTCAAATTCATTATCATGCCATAACATGTATGGCCACTGATAGTTTGTGTCTGCTGCATTTGTTTCAGTTGAATGTACACTTCAGCTAGTGTGCTTCCAAAGGACTTGATCTGTCACAGCTGATTTTGTCCTTTAGATAGCTTTTCTAAAGAATTTTTAACTAAATGGATCCACATGCAGATATATGGCCATTATATGCCTTTTTTTTTTTTTAAATCCTTTCTAATTCCTTTCAGGAGTTTGGCAATCAGATTTTCTACAACATTTAGTCAATAACATGTTCTGAAGAGCTGGCATGAGTCTAAATTTAGGCTTATCCTTATATCAGCTGGGGATTCTCAGCATACAGCAGCCTAAGAAATATCATTTGCATGAGAGCAGATGAGTAAAGTGTTTGTTGGTTTTTTAACTTCATATTGATTAATTTGCCTAGGGATTTATCAAGTAATAACTGAAGCAATGAATTCTTTCCCAGTAAGTTATTTAGGTTTTTTAATTAATTTAGATTTTTACTGTAATGTATTTTTATTATATTAGTGTCTAACAATCTAATTTGTGTGAGGCACTCTGTAAACATGTGGCAGGAAAGAGTTTCAGCTGACAAAAGTTTTATTGAGGAAGGCAGAAAAAAAAGAGTAGAGGAACACAGGTGCAAAACTGTAAAGTGAGTTGTCAGTTTTGGTGGCAAAATGGGACTAGGACCTCTGACACTTGAGTGCTGTCCTCATGCATTCATCCATTTGCTCATTAACTCCTCTGCAAATAATATTGCATTCATATTTTGGGTACATTCCCAGAAAATACTGTGTGCTCCATCCAACTCAGCTGAACTCACTTGGTGCTGGGGATATTCAGCTCCTGCGGAGACTGGATTTGATACGTTCAAATGCATCGTTATGTCTAAATCTATGTTGGACATGAGCTGGTCACTGGTAGTATAAGACACCAATTTGAAACACCTCTGCTATTATGAAGATCCCGAAGGACCTCATGTCCAGTGTTATGGTTTTCACTCTCTATATATGTGTACATTATTAATTTGAATTTTTCTTTGAAAAAGGATTATTCTTTCTTTTCCTAAAAGCACAACCTTCTTCCTCCCAACGAAGTAATTTCGCAGGCTGTGAGGTCACTTTCCTTCTTGTTTCTCCCCTTCAGGCTTGCTGTACGTTGGCTTTAGTGCCTGTATGTTTGGCCTCTACAGCTTCATGCCAGTGGTCATAAAGAAAACCAGTGCTACTGCTGTCAACCTCTCCCTGCTCACGGCTGACCTGTACAGCCTCTTCTGTGGATTATTCCTCTTCCACTACAAGGTACGTGGAAATGAGAGATGTGTTTGGGTGAGAGCAGTGTGCCTCAAGAAGCATCAGTTAAGGACGAGGAAACAAAAGAAGCCTCCAAGCTTTGCTAGATCTAAACAGTTAAAGTGCAAGTTTCAGGCTTCATGCACTAAAACCAATTTTATTTTATGATTTCTTGTTTTCTGAGAGAGCTCATTTGGTCTTTTTGTTACAAGTTTTAAGATTTGAGTACCTGTTCATCAGCCACTGTATCATTAATTTCATGTTACTTATCAAAGGTTACTTTCAACTGCTGTGAGCAGACCTAAGGTGGCAGCATGAAGGGAAGGACTCTTCCAAAACTCCCACAGACTTTTTTTGCCCGGGAGCAAGGTTGTTTCATTGATACTCATTGTGAATTCATAACTAAATTGTTCATAAATTACACCTTTCTCTTGGACATACCAGTGGCTTGCCTCTTATTGTAAATGCCAAAATGTGCAGCATACTTGTGTTAAGTTAAACTTTGACCTCCCAGGTCCCCTAATATTTAAAACACCATGTGATACAGGACCACATTTGACCTCCAGTTATGAGGAATGGCACTTCATTATTCACAAGTATCCCCCGCCAGTGTCCATCCTGTGAAAATAACATTGCAGTGCTGGAAGCAATTGATTTCTACCATCATTTATTCACAGGAGGGAGGTTACTTGATGGCTAAATTGTGTTAGAAGTGTTAGGCAAAAGAAAACCTTAAAATTCTGAGTGTCTAATCAACTCAAATCAGATTTTGTTATGGTAATAGTACCTGAATGAATCTGAATGTGACAGTGAAAGTTCAAATCTTCAGGGTTCAACACAAAGTTGTTTGTCTTTTATTTTGGCTTTGTGGCTTTGAGAATTTTGCAGGCACAAGAAAAGCAAGAATAGAAACAAAAATTTGACTGAAAACACAATGTAGGGATTGCCTACTGCTTTGCAGCTCTATATCATGGTGATATCATTTCTCCTTCTTTCTGCCTCATGCTTCAAACCCAAAGTGTTTGACATTAGGTGTTATCTGAAAACTATATCCTGTAATTGGTATTATTTGATACACACAGACAAATATATTTAGGTGCATTAGTCCACTGTTCCTGAGAAAAGTTACTACATTACACAGTGGAAGACAAATGTTATTCTGAAAATAGTGGTGGTAGTGTACTAGCAAAATCAAACTCCAGTAGAGGAAAGACTCAAAAGGCAGCAGAAGGTGAACAGCTCTGTGCTCAGCATTGCCCAAATCTAACAAAAAAGGCAATTTTGCAAGCACAAACTCTAAAGTTCAGACACTTGAAAGGCAAAAGGTGAGTTAAAGGTTTAATTTCTTCCTTGTGTCTGATGGATACATTAGCAGAGCCAGGAAGGCAGAATTTTCAGCTTTACTGACCCCCATCATTCTACAGTAAGTGCATGTCAGCTCCTATCCATAATGGCATCTTGGTCTCCCTCCAAGACCTGTATGGAAAAAGTGCTCAAGAGTAGAAGGCTCAGAATGGAGAGGTTTTCTGGTTGAAAGCATCCATCTCTATATGTGTCCTGGTATGTGTCCTGCTTGAGTTCCACATCTCAAGTAACTGATGGTCCCCTCTGCCCCTTGCTCTAATCATTAGAAAATGGGAAGTCTTATCCTCCTATGGTTATTGTATGTATCATGCTTTTGCTTTCATATACTTATCAATTACTAAAACCTATCCAGGTTTTTTACCTCCACTGCTGTCCTTGGAAGACCTTCAGAACATTACTTCTCCAACAGTTACAAACCACCTTATTTCCAGCATAAATTTACTTGTGTCTGGTTTTGGTCCATTCATCCTTCTACCAAGAGTATCCATTTAGCACCAAGAATGCCCATCTCCATGGCATGTTACTCCATTGGTACATCAGTAGAGAGGAATCATCGTCTCTCAGCCTTAGTTCACTAATCAGAGCAAGCCCTTCTCTGCACCTCACCTGGCTGGATTTCATCCTCCCTGAGACAGCCCCTTCAGCTCCACGTCCTGGTCCCTCCAGCACCTGGTGCAATGCTTTTTACTCTGTTTCTCTAGGAAGCCAGTTACCCCATAGACAGCAAGCAAGCACTGACATTTTTCATCACTATGTTTCTTTTGTAATTTATACTCATCCTTTGCTCCATGCAACTCACATGTCGCTCCTTTCTTCTTCCCAGCTGAAGTGTTGAAAAGGAGAAGACCTTTATCAAGGCTTTTTGAAAGGACCTTTACCTGAAGTGCAGCATCAATTTCTCAAGTTGTCAGCGTCTCCTTTCACACCCTTCAAACTTACATTGCAGATGAAATTTGAAGGGAGAGGCTATACGCAAAGATTATGTCGATTTTAAAGTCCACTTAGTTACTTGATTTCTTCTTTAGTTACCATGTTTCTATTCACAGTCAGATGACCTCCCCCTTTTCTTTATGGTTTGCTATCAGGTATCATTTCATCTGAGGAAGTGGAGCTGTTAAATGTGTGACTTGCTCTCAATAATGAAGTCTAATATGTTGGCATGAAGTGATCTGAATTAATTCCCCTCCTAGGACTGTGTACACTTGCTTGTTTCCTAGATTTTAAAGAGCTGTTTTGTTCCTAGCCCAGCTGTACATCTCCTGCAGCTCCTTCTGCTTTTTTCTGCAGTGGCCAGTGGGCACCGCCCCACTTCACTGGGAAGTAAATGGGTTTATGCTCAAGTAGGATCAACTGAGTGGTTTAGTGTACCTTGCAGAATATCATTTTATGAGGCTTTCAAGAAACAGTTGTGATTTTTCCCTCTGCTGCTACTTTTATCACCAGACAGGTTTATTGCACCTATAGCAACAGACCTATGAAAATCCATGGAAAATGCAGGAAATTAGTTTAACTGAGCTTTAGACCTTTTGAAACCAAACTGAAGAGAAGATTGTCTTTGAAGTGTTTTGAGTCATTAGCATTTCATTTTTGTATAATACAGCCTTACAACATCATTGCATGCAGGACACGAGTGAGTTTATAAACAGCTGCATCTCTAGTCTTACCCCACATGCAGGCATCTTCTTTGCACACTGAAGATTTCCCAGGCCCACAGAAGCTGGAAATTCAGCCTGTTAACTTGACACAATTCTGGTCATATACATGTGATTCAAGATGTTAATTTTTCAAGAATTTTTATATTAAAATGTAAAAATATATAGCTTTCAGTTGGAGATAGATTACTAGATTGTAATGCATCATTCTTAAAAGTTCTTGCATCCCCCAAATAAAAGACGTGTTTTTAGTTCTTCTGTAATCAAAAGTTGACTTCAAATATTCCAGCGGATGGAGAAATGTATCTGGCCTCTTTGGTAGCTGAATATCCACCATTGCCATAGCATTTAAGTATACAGCATCATATCTTCACTATTTCTTTTTTAATTCTCACCATATTGAGATATGTTATGCAATTTTTTGTTCAAAACCTTCCTAGCTGGTCTGTTCTCGTTTTACCTTCTTTAGCACAAGTAATAGGACTGTCCTTGGCCATTCTTTGTTATGGATACATGGACACCAGTGATGCTAAAAAATTCAGGACCACCTCTCTGGGTGCACAGAGTTAGAGCTTTTCTATAAATATGGGGTCATTTTTTCGTAGGAGTATTCTTTTTCACTTTTTATTCTCAGCCTTAGCTCTTTTGTTAGCTCTTTTCTGTTAACTTCTTTTGCAAGCTCCATGTTGTCTTTAGTCATTCTGAGCAAATTAGGTTCTCACTAAATAATCTAAGCAGTTTATTTATATTTTCCAGCAGCTAGAGCATGAATACTGATTGTGTTCTGGACTAGCAGGTTGAGTCACACTATATTATATCATTACCTAGCAAGCCGAGCACAATCAATTATATTATGCCTTGGCAAATTCATTCATGACTTTATCCAAGATGCAGCTATAAAAATTCAGAATTTCTGGATACAGTAGCAATTCCCAAATGAAGAAAATGCATGCATTTCATAATGAATCAGGGAAGTCATGTATCTTCATTTAGAATCTCAGAATGTCTGTGATGAAGGATTTGAATGGACAGATAAACATGGTACTCAAAACCTTCCAGGACCAGAAATCTGAAATTATGCTAGTTGAGACCTCATTTGCTGATAGTAAGTGATGTTTCTAAAAATTACTTCTCAATGCTAATTCTAACAGTATTCATCCAATGGGAAGACAATCTTCCCATTACATCAAACAAGCCATGAAGACTGGAGTTTTTCCAGATGGAGAAGAGAAGGTGAAGGTTGGGGGAAGGGGGTTTCTGGTTTTTTTTGGCCAGCACAGATCCTGAGCAGTGCCTGTGAATTTGGGATTTACAGAGTCTTCACTGTAGTGAAAATTTGACCCTTGCTAGAAATATATATTGAAGCCAGTGTGAGGTTTTTCTGCTGTCTTTGGTGCACTTCAGTTCATTTTCCTAAATTAGGAAACCCTGCCACTCAAGGAATAATCTTTAGAAAAATTCACAGTTTCATGACTGTGAAGATAAAACCTTATTTTTGACCTTGACTCTATATGCTTCAGGCAATCCTGGATTTTCTTGGAGCAAGATGGATACAAAGTCTGTGGCTTGATAGGAGTTAAACAAAATTGGTTTGGTTTGGGGGAGGATTGTTAATTACTTTGATTTTTATTTGGCAGCCATCCATAAACATCTGTGAGACTTCTCCCAAACCTCTGACCTAACTGAGAAAATACTTCAGTTTATATTCTCACCTTTTTTTTTTTTTAACTTTCCCTGAAAGTATTAGCTGAAGTCAGTAAGATCCTCTTCTTTGCTTGCACTTGTTAGGGAACTAACACCTACCTATTTTAAACTCGGCAGTGGTGTTGTCAGTGGTGCTGTCAGTGGTGCATCATTATTTCTAGGGAAGCAGGCAGTGCAGGCTAAAAAGCTGCTTTTTACACTATCACTTTCTCAGTCATACACTTAAAGGTATATTATTAAATTAGGTATGCAGGCTGTTTGATCCATAAACTTTCTGTTTTAATGGAA